AAAGTTTCCATTTCCATCCCCCCTCCCAACACCCTCCCACTCCCCCTACTCCCCCTCCTCCTCCCTCTTCGTCCCCCAGGGCAGTCAGGGTTTCCTGCCCTGTGGGAAGTTCCAGTTCCTTCCCCCTCCCTCCAGGTCCAGGAAGGTGAGTGTCCAAACAGACTGGATCCCCAAAATCCATTATATGTAGAGGAAACAGGTCCCAGTGTCATAGTCAATGGCTTTTCAGAAAGACTTCGGGTCAGCCACAGTCCGAGAATCCGGCCAAATTCGGAGAGTCTGGTTAGATCACGTCCTCTTTCAGTCCCAGTCCAACTGGCCTTGGTAAACTCTCATCAGATCCGACCCCTTGTATCAGTGGGTGATAGCATCCCTCGCAGTACTGATTTCGTTTTTCATGTTCTTCCTCCTTCTGCTCCTCATTTGGACCTCGGGGGGCTCAGTCCCGTGCTGCAATGTGGGTCTCCGACTGTATCGCCGTCCTTCGTCAGATGCAGGATCTATGGTGATAAGCAAAATATACATCAGTATGGACATGGGCCACGGCCGATTCAGGCACCCACTCCTCTGTCCAGAGAGCAATCTGGGGGATCTCTCCTTGGACCTGGGATCCCATATATAATCAAGTCTCCTGTAAACCCTAAAATGGGTCCCTTAGTTGAAATATAATCTTCCCTGATCCCTTGTTCATCCTTCCTCCCTCCCCCCCCCCATCCCAGGCCACCAAGCTTTCCCCTTTCTTCCCCTACTCCCTTCTCTCTAACCTTCTCCCCTTCCATCGACCCTCCCTCCTCCCCATGCACCCGAGGTTACCTGGGACTCATGTCTATTTCCTACCTCCTGGTGGATAGCTAAATAATCTTCATCAGGTTCATCTTCTTATTTAGCTTCTCTAGGATCACGAATAATAGGCTCAAAGACCTTTAATTATGGTTAGAATCCACTTATGAGTGAATACATACCGTGTTCCTCTTTTTGGGTCTGGCTTACCTCACTCAGTAAAGCGTTTTCTATTTCCATCCATTTGCATGCAAAATTCAAGATGTCATTGTTTTTTACCGCTGAGTAAAACTCTAATGTGTATATGTTCCACACCTTTTTTGACCATTCTTCTATTGAGGGGCACCTAGGCTGTTTCCAGGTTCTGGCTATTACAAATAGTGCTGCTATGAACATAGTAGAACAAATGCTTTTGTAGTATGATCGGGAATCTTTAGGGTATATTCCCAAGAGTGGAATTGCTGGGTCCTGAGGGAGGTTGACTCCCAGTTTCCTGAGAAACCGCCACACTGATTTCCACAGTGGCTGCACGAGTTTGCATTCCCACCAACAATGGATGAGTGTTCCCCTCACCCCACATCCTCTCCAGCATAGGATATCATTGGTGTTTTTGACTTTAGCTATTCTGACAGGAAAAACACCCATTATTAAATAAAATAAAATAAAATAAAATATTTTCCATTACCTCCTCTTAATGACATAATCTTAATCCCTTGGCTCAGTTTTTCAGATTAATAAATTACTATTTAACTGTGACCCTATTGCAAATCTGTTTATCCTGTGGATATTTTGTTGTCACAATTGATTTTTAAATTCCCAAGACCTTATAGATGTGAGACTCATTCTTGTGTTTCCAAAATGCAACCCTGAAGAGCCCACTCCTCTGGCTGCTCTGCGAGCTGCCTCCTTTGGCACCAGCCCTCCTCTGCAGTGACCATAGTGCTTCTCTTTCTTGAGCTCATGAGTCTTTGTTGTGCGGTCCACTTTTTATATGGAAGCTGTTTGTTCTGAGGGTGCTGGTTTTGATCACCCGTGCTCGCCCCTGGGGTTGGGGCTGACCAGCTGCTGGAAGGTTCTGTGACCTTTCTCAGTGTGTCTCCCACACCCGTGGTCCATCCTAACCTGCTTTGCCTGGGGCTCCTTTTAGCATCACTGGCTTCCCTAGTTTGCTGCCTTCTTAACGGTTCAGACAAAGGGAGGTTCCAGCTGAGTCTGAAGGTAAGGGGCAAGGATGCAGTCCTGATCTTCTTTTCATCAGTGCCTGTCTGCCTACACTTCCTCTAATGCAACTCTCCTTTGAGTGGTGCGGGAGAAATGTCTGTATTCTGTCAATCATGAATAAATGCTGATTGGCCAGGCAGGAAGTATAGGTAGGTCAACCAGACAGGAAGTAGAGGCAAGGCGATGAGAACAGGAGTATTCTAGGAAGCAGGAAGCTCCCTCCGCATTCCTGCCCAGATCACCAAAGAAACAAGATATGAGCTGCCCCATTGAGAAAGGTACTGAGCCATGTGGCTAACATAGATAAAAATAATGGGTTAATATAAGCTACAAGAGCTAATAAGTGACCTGAGCTAATGGAGATCATTATAACTTATGGAGATCTCTGTGTGATTTTCTTTGGGGGCTTGCCGGCTGTAGGTTACCGGTGGGACAGAAACCCCAACAAGCCAGTCCCTTTATGTTACACCTTTGTATTGGCTTTTTTAAATGTATTTTATTTATTTGTTTGTTTATTTATATATTATTTATTTTGTATGCAGTGTTTTGCCTACATACCAGAAAAGGCAACAGATCTCATTATAGATGTTTGTGAGCCACCATGTGGTTTCTGGGAATTGAATTCAGGGCCTTTGGAAGAACAGCCAATGTTCTTAACTGTTGAGTCATCTCTCCAGGCCCTAACTGCCCCACTTCCTTCCCTTTTTGGCCAGAAAGGGTATTGATTTTCTCCCATTTCTAGCCTTTGGGAATGTTAACATTTCTTGGTCATTCCTTTTGTAACTTCATCTACGAACCTCTTTTTAGCCGGAGCCCTGAGTGCACTACCCACATTCTGTCAATACAGCGTCCATTTACTGTCAGGAGGAAAGAGGGGATATGGGAAGTTGTTGTCTTGTGTGGCTCCTCCATGGCTTCTCAGAGGTTCCTGACTGTGGTATTAACTGATGTGGGATTCCCCTCTGTATGCTGTAGTTACTATTACTGAATAAAGAAAACTGTCTTGGGCCTGCACAGGGAATAGAGGTAGGTGGGGAAAACAAAATGGAATGCTGGGAGAAAGGAGGCAGAGTTGGAGAGAAGCCATGTAGTTCCACCAATGACGGATGCCGGAACTTTATCCTGTAAGCCACAACCTTGTGGCAATACACAGATTACTAGAAATGGGTTAAATTAAGTTACAAAATTTAGCCAATAAGAAGCTAGAGCTAGGAGCTGCTGGAGATCTGCGAGTTTAGCCAGGAGAAGATGAGCTCCGTGTTCGAGGATAGCAATGTGTACATGTTGCACATGATGTACCAGGCTGTGGGCGTCTGCCTGTACATGCAGGACTGGGAAGGAGCCCTGAGGTACGGGCAGAAGATCATCAAGCCCTACAGTAAGCACTACCCTGTGTACTCCCTCAATGTGGCCTCCATGTGGCTAAAGCTGGGAAGACTGTACATGGGTCTGGAGAACAAGGCTGCTGGGGAGAAGGCTCTGAAGAAGGCCATTGCTATCATGGAAGTAGCTCTCGGCAAGGACCACCCATACATCTCCGAGATCAGGCAGGAGATTGAGAGCCACTGACTGCACCCCAGCTTTTCTTCAGGAACCTCATAGGACTTGAATATTTCCAGCCTCATGGGTCACCCCAGCCTTGCCCGTGCCACGGTTTCAGGTTCATGTTTAGCTCTGACCTTAACTCCATCTCCAGTGCTTTCCTTTTTTTTTTTTAGGTCATGGCATGACTTCATGAAATACAGATTTGGGGCAGATTGAGCTTTAGAACTGCAGTTATTTGTCCTCCGTGCCTGTTGGAATGTTCTGCATAGAGTTGACTGAGGAAAGAATAAAAGAGCCAGTCCTTGGAAAAAAAAAGAAGCTAGAGCTAATGGGCCAAGCAGTGTATTTAATTAATACAGTTCCTGTGTGATTATTTTGGAGCTATGCAGCTGGGAACCAACAAGCGGCCTCCTCCAATAATTAACGAGATAACTCATGTTACCTCTAACAAATAATCCCTAAACCTTAGCAGTTTGGTAAAGGTGTCTCTCTTTCTCTTGCTCAGAGTCCCCCAGTTTTCTCCACACTGTCCCTCCTCTCATTCCCAGCCTCCTTACAATTTCCATTGGCTCTCTACTGTTAGAGGAATGTGTGAGGAGGCTTACAGGGGACATTTTTGACTTGCAACAGGAGATGTCATTTATTTGTCATCCGTTGATCAGAAACTTGTTACAGGATCTCAGCAGACCCTCAAAGGAAAAAGGTGCAATAGTTTCCCATGGGTAGGGACATGAAGACGGCCTGCTGACTGTTTAATGGCTTTCTGCCGTAGCTGAGCTGGGACAGCGCACTTGGGCCCAAGTGCCTCAGCCCGTCACTGTAGCTTGTGTGGCATGATGCTGTTTGTCACCATTCAGTTAGAGATGGGGAGGACGGAGGAGCCAAGAGGCACGGCTGCTCCTGGTGTAGACTAGATAAACCCTGAATTTTTTTTCGTCTGTTTGTTTCTTGTCTGTTCACTTGGGGTCTGTGACACCATGTCATTACATCTGTCTGTGGAAGGTCATGTGCCTCTTTCAATACTTGGGAGCCACAGTGATCACACGGAAGAGGAAATCTAATGGGTACCACTGACTAAATATTAGGTGTGTTCTGAGCAAGGTTTGTAGCTCAGTGGTAAAGGGCAGGCTTAGCATGCTCAAGACCCGGGGTCCTAACTCCAGAACTCCCTTAAGTATGTCCAAAAGTAAATTCTACTAAATCCACACTAACATATCCAAACATGTCTGCATGCTTAGCTAGGGCTGTGTGTGCCGTGGCATCAACCTTTGGACCCATTCTGTTCTTTAAATGTCACTTGTGAGAGTCTTGGGGTGCTTTTCTCCTGAGGGTGGCATTTTTAACGAGGAATTCACGGGCTCTACAGACAACAAAAGGAGCAAGCCTTGGCTGCTGGACCACCCCATGATGCAGTCTGCCTATGCAGCGACATAGCAGATGATGACGCATCAAATCATCAAGAGAGCATTCAATTAAAAAAAGAAATGATCAGACACCAATTTATCAGAGCCAACAAAATACTGAGTACTTTGGAATTTATTGGTCAGTTTGGTTTTGATATTAAAAGCAACTCTGAAACTGTAAGACCCACCTCCTGGTTTTCCAGGTAGAACCGATGCACAAAGAACCACACATATTTGATGTGCACAACTTGCTGAGTTGGGGATAAGCAGGTTTCACCATACTAGACACATCTACCAAGTCCTGCAGCTCCCTTGTGGTTCTTTTGTTGCTTTTATCTGTGGTAAGAAAGTCTAATAGGTGATCTACCCTCTTAAGCAGTGTTGAAATAAGTAACATCGTGTTGCTAATTAGAGGCATATCACTGTACAGATCTTTACAACTTATTTATTTAACATAACTTTATACCACCCAACAAAAGCTCCCCAGCTCCCTCCCATCTCCCAGGCGCTGGAAACCGTTGCTATGGTCCCTTTCTCTGTGCTGGAAACCGTTGCTATGGTCCCTTTCTCTGTGCAGCTTCTATCGTTCACGTTCCACAGCCACATAGCATTTACCTCTCTATGACCAGATTCCTTCACATAGCAAAACACCCTCAACTCTATCCAAGTTGTTGTCTTTATTCAAATAAATGCAAAATAATACTTCTTGTGTGTGCATACTGTGTCTCGTTTATCTGTCAATGAACCCTGGGACTCTTCTCATATTTTGACTCTGAAGCTATAATGAACTGGTCATGCAGATATCCCCTTCAGAATCCCAGTTTCAATGGCTTCTGATCTATAACCAATAGGATTGTTGTATCATTTGAGAGACAGAGGCATCATCATTGCTCTATTGCCTTTGTTTGAAGGTCCTCCATTGCGCTCTCCTCATCTGCAGCATCAATGAACGTTATTGTCAACAGTAGACAAGGGCTCCTGTCCCCCACAGCTTTACAAATGTTTGTTACCATTTGTCTTCTTGCTAACAACTCCCTAACAGGGTATGAACATCTTGTTGTAGCTTTTACGTCCCTCTCCTAGGTGACTAAGGATGTTGAACATCTTCTCACCTAGCTATTGACTGCTTATATGTTATTCTAAAAAAGATCCCATTCAAGCTCATTGTCTAATTTCAGTTGTTTATCTGTGGTTGAGTACCTGAGAATTTGTCTCATGTTACTCACTTGTATAGATTTCCATCTAGATCACTGTGACAGAGAAGCGAACATAACTAGGGATGACAGTGCCCATGTGACATTACTGTATTTGATCACTGCTGGAGTCCAGCTCCAGGTGAGGGCAAGGTCTGACGGCAGGTGGGTGCAAGAGCTGCAATGGGAGGAATCAAACACACACACTTCTTAGTTTTATTTTAGGAGGAATGGACAGAGAGGAAGTACATTCCGGGTGGAGACGCAGGTCCCAGCAGGGGATGTAAGGAGTAGTCAAGGGAGGGAGGGAGACAGGCCATGATGGTGAGGAAAATCTTGCAGCTGACTGTCTAGTGGGCAGACTGCTTCTCTAGACATACAGACTTTAGTAAGCAGGGATACATTCGTGTTGTTCCAAAGCATAGGTCATATCATTTTTGGTTTTGGACATGTGTTTTACTTCCTTTTGCTCATCTTTTAGTCATCATTAATAAACTACAGCAGAACAGAGTTATTATTTGTAATCATTTTTCCTCATTTTGACATCATGGATAAACAAAGTTATCATGGTTACTCATTAACCCCATAACCCAGTTTTTAAGAATCTGAAAACATATGACAGCCTGTTCTCAGGATGGCAGCTCTGGTTGCTTCAAGGACAGTAGACCAAAACAATCTTCAAGCCAGCCTGGGCACAGTGCCACGTCCCAAGCAGTGTATTATTAACTCTTAATGGTCAGAGTGCCCAGGAGGAAATCCTCAGGCCAAAGATGCTTCAGTTACTATTCAAATTCTGGCATAATACAATGTTTGTATTTTATAGTTTATAGCATCTGTCTATATGTCTAATCCTGGCATTCCGTTGTTCCTTGGTCCTGTGACATCACAGTGGCTCTGCGTGAGCTAACTGGTCTAAGAAGGGGAGGGGAGGTCTGGACATCTCTTTCTTTCATCATCTTTCCACTCCATTCTTTGTCCATCAGTATAAGTCTCTGTGTAGGGCAGAGGTGACTTCAGCTAATCTAACTTCATTGCTGTCTATGCCACACATTTGCCAGAGTGTATAATGGGAAGAGCCCTGCAATCTGAACCGTGGCCAACTCCTCCAGCCCACGGAATCTTGTTGACCTTTTGAGTTTGCTTTGTTTTGATTGTTTTATTCCTGTGTAAGCACAGGGACAGATGTTTTAAGAATGTCTCATAGCCTCATAAAGAGACCTCTAGCGTCTTTATGTGTGTCACAATCCCCAAAGCGTAAGGAAGACCTTCAAGTAGATAAGGATATCTCCCTAAAAGCAGAAGGGTTGGTATGTTCAGGATTGTCCTGGGGAAGCTTAGAAGCAACATTCTTGGGAGAAGAAATAAATGATTCATAAGTAAATTTCCATCAATCAAATATCCCAAAATTGCGCAAATATTAAAACTCCCTCAAGTATGCAACAAGTGGTGATGAAAACCATAGGTGGCGTGGTGACCATCATGTGGCTCAGCTTTCGTGGATCTCTCTCAAGTAGCTATGCTGGGTTTATGACTCCTGTGGGTCCCATCAGATGTACTGTGCCAGATCACACTCTTGCACAGGTGTTGGGATCTCTTATTCTTCCCTTTGCAGAGGTCAGTTCAGAAATGAAAAGACTTGACCTTGCTTGTTAGTGTCAGATCTGCTACCAACCCCAGGAATTCTCATTCCCACACCAGTGCTTTCCTACTGTGCCAATTTACTTCTTATATTACTTAACTGTATAGTGTTGACTAATGTCTTCCTGTAAAGTTATATCATTGATACTATGACAAAAATAGAAATATAGAAAAGAAAAACATGAAAAGATGTGGGATTCCCCTCTGTATGCTGTGAATACCATTGGTTAATAAGGAAACTGTCTTGGGCCTGTGCAGGGAATAGAGGTAGGTAGGTGTAAAACTAAACTGAATGCTGGGAGAAAAGAGGCAGAGTTAGGAAGAAGCCTTGTTGCCCTGCCAGAGACAGATGCTGGGACGGAATATTACCTGGTAAGCCACAGCCACGTGGTGATACATAGATTAGTAGAAATGGGTTAAATTGATATATAAGAGCTAGCCAATAAGAAGCTAGAGCTAATAGGCCAAGCAGTGATTTAATTAATATAGTTTTTGTGTGGTTATTTTGGCTCTGGGTGGCCAGGAAATGAACAAGTGAGCTCTCACAACAGTGAAAACATATCTAGCTAGTTCTAACATTAAAATATGGCCAATATGTGTAATTACTATGTATTCACCGTAGATGTGTTTTCTATTACAGATGCTTCTATCAGTTTCCCAACATATTATTAAAGGAAATTTTTCCTGTCTGTAATCATCTTCTCATAGTACTTATTTTTTTTTTTGAGACAGTGTCTTTGTGATAGTTTGTAGGCAAAAGTTTCTGTCCCACAAGCTGCTCCCAAGTAACCACACAGAGGATTAATATTGATTATAAATGTTCAGCCAAAAGCTCAGGCTTGTTACCAGCTAAC